ATTATGTCAGCTTCTACTATAACTCTAGCAGATTTCTTTAAAACCTTATTAAGTTTATTTATTCCACTTTCATTACAACTACCCCATATATTGCAACAATAATCAAACAATTGGAGAATATAAGCATTCTGAAAATAAATAATACGTATATGCATAGGTAAATACTTTCGCATCTTTTGTAATAAGTTTGATATTGTACATGACATTTCATCTATTTGCTCATTCCAATTTAGGTTATTGTTGAGGTATAAACCAAAACGTTTATCACAATCTATATTGTATAGCTTGTTGAATTCGTTCAAACAAGTATGACTGAAACCAGTCTAGTATACAGTTTGGAACATTATAATATTCAAGTTTTTTTTCCCATAAAAATGTATGATTAACCAGATAAAAAACTTTCTTTAAGTCTAAAAATAAACTTCGTTTATCTCTCCATTATGCATATGTGTTAACCATTCATCTACTAATTAAGTAAAGGCAGTAGTGCACGAATGTTTAGGTCTGAAGTCTGACTGTGTAGTATTAAGAAGGTCATTACTATTTCAATATATACACAAACTATCAGCGATAATATATGTCGTTCTACGATTTTGGAGATGCAAGGCAAAACTGCTATTGGTCTATAATTATCAGGATTATAAGCATCGCCACTTTTAAAAATTGGGCAAACTCTTGCAGTTTTAAAAATACTAGAAAATTTACCACATCTGATGCTTATATTAAATAAATATGTTAAAGCTGGTGCAATGATATTACTACACATACTCAATATTGTTGGCCCAACATCATCTAAACTAGTTGCTTTAGACTTGTCAATTTTTTAAAATACATTTTTTTACATCTAAAATACTCATTTCTGGTATAATGAATTTTTCACAGCCCCTTTGTAACTTTGATTTCACAAATCTATTGGCTACATCGAAAATTGGACACTCATCATCATTACATAATTTGTTACCAACTATACCTTCAGCAATATTTATGAAATGCATATTAAATGTATTTGCTATATCAACATCACTTTCAATTACACTATTTTCATATTGTAAATCCGTTATATTATTAAGTGATTTTTGGGGATTTAAACTTTTAACATACTTCCTAGTAGTCTTACTATCTTTACAATTAGAAATAGTATTTTAAAAATAATTTTTCTTTGCCTGTTCTAATAAAATGAAACCTTATTTCGCCATATTTTATTATATACATATCTCCAATTCTATGAACATAATCTCGTTGGTATTGAGCGCTATTTATATCAGAAGCCCACCACTCTGGTTGTTGAGTATTCGTCACCCTTTTATTTTTTTAGAAGCATGCTTGTCTAGGGTGTTTAGAAATAGATTATACCATAAATTAGCTGCTTCATCAACATCTCCAATCGACTCATTGAGATGAACAGGAGTATTTGTTAAATTTTCAATAAATTTATTTTAATCAAATTGTTTGAACGATCTTTATGGATGAATGCTCCATTTTTGATATTTTTGGGTCGAGTTTTCTTGTAACACAGGATAGTGATCACTGACAGCATAACTAGGCACATTTAATCATATAATATAGTTTATATCGGTAGTATAGATAAAATATATCCTAGAAAAATTGACCCTTTTGAAAAAATGAAAGCTGGCTCTTCTAAAAACATAAAAATTTGTCTTCTAAAAACATTGACTCTTCTAAAACATGAAAATTGGCTCTGTAAAAAACATTTAATCATTGATGGTTGAAATGCGCATCTGATGCAGTGAAATTGGTACCGTTAATGTTATTGTAATCTATCGAATTTACCTACAAGATTTGTTTATTTTTGTGTTCCTTCAGTTCTTATAAAAACTACCCCTATACAATTCGTGGTAAAAAAAATTATCTGCACAATATAATTTAGAAATTGTCCGTGGTCTATTAGCTAGAGTATATATTCAGTGTATTGTAAGACTTTCTACCATTTAACTAAAGAAATTTGACAGATGATTGTAATATTTTGACATTTTTCAGGTGTTTTGCTAAGTTGATAAAATTTTGGCACATAGTTCGGAATAAGATGAATTTATTGTACCTGTTTGCATTAAAAACTATACGTAAACAATAAGAAGGCACATCATCAAACCTTTCGTCATATTTTCTATTTGACTAAACATAGCCAAGTCACCACGAAAGAGGCCTATTATGGTCAATTTACCCTAAATTTATTTTACACCAGGTGACACAGGGCAGTAAAGCGAAAACAAAAATAAACCTACTAGTGGTCATTTAAGCGCAGACATTACAGCTCAGTTCAGCGCCAGATTAATCCGTTCACTTGCCTTTGAAAAAATATATATTAAAGCATATAGAACAGATTCAGATTCAATATTTTATTAAAGTCTCACCACTTGAATAACATTAAACATTCGAATACATATATAAAACATACCGTATATGAAAACTTACAGTAAAATATCATTAGTTTAAATACTAAAACATATACAAGCTTCATTTTATTAAGAATTCTGAGAGGCTATATATGATTTTTTTTCAGAGACAAGTGCCTCTGGTTCACATACTACATACTACATACTTATATTACTTTTTTGTAATAATATTTTACTCACCACAGATTATGTTTTTTTTTATAAGTGCACATACAGATTCAGATTCAGATTCAATATTATATTATTTAAGTCCCACCACTTGTAAATACATATAATACAATCAGCATGATATATACCTTGTATAAAACAGTAATTTTATAAGTTAAAATACAAGCTTCATTCTATAAGAATTATGAGAGACTATATATGAATTTTTTTTTCAGAGACATGTGCCTGTGGTTCATCTATATTAGTGATAGCCCATCTTAGCGAACATTTACCCTTCTATACTTATTTGCTGAGTTTATTTAATTAATTTTGATATGAAATGAGAAGATAAGGTATGATTGACCAATGGGACAAATATCCAGCAAAGTTGAAATGTTTTGGATTTAAGCAACTAACGGTCACCGTACGGCCTCCAATATGGACCAAAAACCCATACCGTAAAGTCAGCTATATACTTGTAAATTTATTTGCATTTACATTTTTGTTAAACATGGAAAGTAATGTTTTTGAAGAACGAATGGAAGAAATGTGCACTATATAACAGATAGCGTTATGATATCAACAAAGCATTGAAAGGTCAGAAGGAAGATTTTTTACTAAGTAATCTTTTCCTTAGTATTGTTGTTATTATTCCAAACCAGAATGGACATGTATGCACCTGTCTTATGTCAGGAGCCTATTGTTCAGTGGTTGCGTTTATTGTGTGGTTCATTACTGTTTCTCGTTTCTCGTTTTTATGCCCCACCTACGATAGTAGAGGGGCATAATGTTTTTCGGTCTGTGTGTCCGTTCGTCCGTTCGTCCGTCCGTCCGTCCGTTCGTTCGTCCGTCTGTCCCGCTTCAGGTTAAAGTTTTTGTCAAGGTAGTTTTTGATGAAGTTGGAGTCCAATCAACTTGAAACTTAGTTCACATGTTCCCTATGATATGATCTTTCTAATTTAAATGTCAAATTATAGTTTTGACCCCAATTTCACGGTCCACTGAACATAGAAAATGATAGTGCGAGTGGGCAGGTTAAAGTTTTTGGTCAAGGTAGTTTTTGATGAAGTTGAAATCCAATCAACTTGAAACTTAGTACACATGTTCCCTATGATATGATTTTTCTAATTTTAATGCCAAATTAGAGTTTTGATCCCAATTTCACGGTCCACTGAACATAGAAAATGATAGTGCGAGTGGGGCATCTGTGTACTATGGACACATTCTTGTTTTATATAGATTTGAGCGTTGGTTTTCCTGTTTGAATTATTTTACACTAGTCATTTTGGGGCCCTTTATAGCTTGCTGTTCGATGTGAGCCAATGCTCCTTGTTGAAGGCTGTACTTTGACCTATAATTGTTTACTTTTTACACATTGTGACTTGGATGGAGAGTTTCTCATTGGCACTCATACCTATAACATATAGCTATTGAGTCCACAAACCAAACTCAAATGTGAGATGAATTGCTTTTATTCGGTATTTACTTTAATTACCATATATATAAGTTTTAATGGATCTGTCAGTTTTACATAGTACTGTCTTGATATTAAAATGTCGCGGGGTTAACATGTATGCGGGCGCCCAACCCTCCCCTCACATGGGACAGTGATGTAACAGCACAAAATAAGAACAAACTTTAAAAACCAGTTTCAACGGGCTTGACTCATCTGTTCAATACACAGCACAAAACCAAATAACAAAACACAAAAGACAGAGAGTACTGTCTCACAGTCAGTGAAAGATAATTCAAACCAATAATAAATAATAAAAGCCTTCATATAGCTCAAATCCGAAATTTTGACAGATTTTGGCAATTTTGAATATTTAAAAGAAATTAATAAGTAGGACAGCCTTAAGCAAAAACCAAGATTATGTAGGAGGTAAAGTTATATATTGTCTTTCGGATACAAATTTCATTCTAGCGTTCTTCGATGGAAAAATTTACCAAAAGCATGTAAAATTTGCAATTATTTCAACATGTAGCGCTAAATTGTATTTTGATTTTATAGAAATATGTAAAATTGTCGAGAAAGATAATGAAAGTATATGATACTAACTCTTTAAAATTCAAACGCAATTAGATTTCGACCTTGTGAGTGAAACAAATACAAAGACAATCCGCCCTACCTCCTTGTATTTAGTGGAGCTATATGGTGACTTCTCAGAGGTAGATATGGACAGGTGAGTGATCCCTCGACAGATCGATTATATTTTCTATCCTTATCCATGTAATGATACAAGATACACTTAACTTGTTTAATCTACATTTGTAGGTTGACAATGTTACAAATATGTAAACAAACTACTCGTCGGATGTTATCTTCTAAATGTATTTGAATACGCAGGTATATCCTGCTTGATAGTCTGGTTTATTTTATAGCTATTTTGAATTATTATATATACATGTGCTTTCTGCTTATTTATTTTCAAAGACAGTACAACTTACATTGGAAAGGTGCAATCGGGACCTGGCGACTGACTTGGGTGGATCTGAGTGGATGTATTTATTCGTCATCATTCAAGGTAAATTCGTTTGTGGCCTAAATTCGTCAGTCCTCCAAGTGGTAAAGTTGAAGTCATCCCTTCATGTTTTGGTTGACCGTTATTGAATGTCTGTGTCATAGATGATGGATGACTATTGTGGTAGTCACAATTAATCCCGTCCTTTTTTCTCGATTGGGACATCACCGAATTGGATTTTCGTCGATTTAGTACTTGCTATAAGCAACACGACGGGTGCCACATTTGTAACAGGATCTTCTTACCCTTCCGGAGCACCAGTTGTTACCCCCCTTTTTTGTGTTGTTCAGTCTTTAGCTATATGTGTAATGTTTTGTAAACATATTTGTCATTTCTTCGTTTTGGTTTTATTTGCCATGGTTTTGTCGGTTTTTCGTCGACTTATATAATTATGATGTTTAATTATGCATTGAATGTCTTCGGTCCCCTTTTTAAAATAAATTTTTAACGAAGAGAATATAATTTAATGTTATTTTTTCATGTTATTTTTTTTGTATAAAAAAGGATTCCATAGCGTCCTATATATTTGTTGTGCCTGCACTGCGAATGACGTTCGGATGGGCCCGGTTACATTTCCCAAAACGTTCATGTTAATTGATGGCGTCATGTGTTAACAGTTACTGGTCAATCAAATCGGTATAAATCATTTAATCTACATGTTCATTTGTACTTACATGAGCAACACGACGGGTTCCACATGTGGAGCAGGATCTGCTGACCCTTCCGGATATCCTGAGGTCACCCCCAGTTTCTTGGTGGGTTCGTGTTGCGCAGTCTTTGGTTTTCTATGTTGTTTTGTGTACTGTTGTTTGTCTGTTTGTCTTTTTCTTTGTTAGCCATGGCGTTGTCGGTTTGTTTTCGACTTGTGAGTTTGAATGTCCCTTTGGTATCCATCGTCTCTCTATTTGTATGTGCTTTCTATACAAATGTTTTATATATTTTGAAAGAATTCATTCACTAATATTTCAGAAAATAAAAGAGACAAATGCATTACTTTTTCAATTTTCAGTTATTACAATAGTTCGAGCCAAAATTGTATGCAACATTTTACTAAAATCAGTGACATAGCCCATATACAGTAACCTTAAACAACAGCTATACAGAAATAAGATACAAAAATTATAGTTATAGTGCTTAACAAGATTGTGTGTTGTAGACGAACTTGGCCTTAAAACGATCGTATTGAACTTTGTGTGTCCAAAATTAAGCAGATCGGACGTATTTTGACTTTATTCACTGGTTGCTTTTGTTTGGGTACTGACATGGATTTTTTAAAATAAATTAAATGTGTGTTCCAATTAACGAAATAAGACAACTTTGAGAACCGAAAATAGAAACAGATTTGGTATATCGAATTTGAAATTTAAGCAACTAGGTGGAAAAAAGGTCTGCATATTTTTGGTATTATAGGATTATTTTCTATTTTCAGAGTTGAAATGATAAAGGCTATGAGAATTTTTTTCATCCGATGGATATTTGTCGGTATTTGTGTTTTTGCTGTTAGCTTGGTATTCCTTGGACTACATACTACGTCACTACAGGCCACCGTAGAACACAAAACAAACGTAAACACAGATTATAATATTTTTGACAGCCAATATACCCCTGTGAAGTTGAAGTTACGTCAATACAAACAGTTACCAACAGATACAGGAATTTCCAACATAAAAGAAGTAAAAGAAGACCTTATAAAGCTGGCAAAAGAAATACAGAAAGCTAAAATCCATATTAGAGGAACAAAGGCTAGAGAATCCTTAACGAATGCCATTGCTGTTGTTAAAGATTTATTTAGACTGACCAATACAAGTATTGATACTTTAAATCGGAATAAAAAATCGTCGAAGCATATTTGCGAGGAAATTTATAAAGGGACAACATACGGGTATCCATTCTTTTACAAGGGATTTGAAATAAAAAACTGTTCATATGCAATTTCTATAGACAAGCTAGTAACTGTTGTATTTATTCATAAACAAGAAAAATTCTGCAAGTTAGAACAAATTTTGAAAAGCATGTTGAATTACAATCCTCGTTTAAAAGTTGTAGTTGGAAAAGAAAAGAATTCAAGAATATCTCTTTCAAAAATGTTGGGTGATGTAACTATCATAGATTATTCTAAGGCGGATTCAGATGGTAAAATTTGGAATTTATTGATAAAACAAGTAAAAACCGAATATACTCTTATTGCTAGAAACATTTCCACATTCAACATTGATGTACGTCTTGAACGACTTGTTCGAGAAATAGAAGCCTTAGACGTAGTCACAGCTGGTGGGGCATTTCGTGACCAAGATGGCCTCTGGAAACTTGGATGTTATCAGACGGCTTATAAAAACTTCTCTTTGATCTATGACGAAGGCTATGACGAATCTCTTCATGAATGTATTTTTTGTGATTACGTAAGTGGTTCATTTCTTTCGAGAATAAAAACTTTTCAAAGCTTTCCTTTTGACACGAATTTGAATGGGATGTCGGTCTTTCAGGATTTCTTCTTACGTCTTTCGCAGAGTAAACTCGAGTCTGTTATTTGCCCTGATTCAATGTTTTATATGCGAAAACAAAAGCAGTCTGAAAATTCTAATGACTGGGCACAGCTTGGCAAAAAATGGAAATTATATCGAATGAAAATTTCTGACGAAGTTGATATACAGTTTCCATGCAAAAAGGAAAGCTACAAATGTTTTAATGGTCTAGGATATATTTTATCGCCATGTTGTCTCCAAGAATTGACTGACATGATCAATTTCATAATGAAAACTTGTGAGGAATCTAACATTGTATGCGAACTCCAAGAAGGAACATTGTTAGGTGCTGTCAAATTCCACAAAGTTTTGCCTTGGGAAAGAGACGCAGATTTAACGTTTCTTACGGCAAATTTTACGGCGTTAACAAAACTTAAATCTTATATTATGAAAAAATATTCTTTTACATATGATGCAGGAAGTTTGTGGTGTTGTGCTGACAACAGGACAGCCGGAGGAAAAATAAAAGTTCACAGCAAAAACTGGCACATCGAAATGTATGGACAGCATATAATGGATTCAGAAATGTTACTAACGGATGGTTTAAAACCAACCAAAATTTTATTAAATGGCCAATGGGTAGGAGTCCCTAGAAACCCTGGTTGGCACGCTAGAAATAGATATGGACATGAAATTTATGCACATGCTCAACACTGGATGGCTTTGGGACACGGTACTGGTTGGATTAATTACAAAACAAACCAATTTACTCCTTGTCGGACACCAGGGAGACATGACTGCTTAGATAGTTTTAACGGGGATGGTAATCTTCCATTTTCGCTTCCAATTCCATAAAATCATATTGTATATTAATTTTTTAAGCATTGTATTTACCAGGTTTCCGATTACTTACCATCATCATTTAAATATAAATCTAAAACAGAGAGAACAAAACATATGAATTTTAAAGTACTCGTTGGAAATTTGGATCACAACTCACTCAAACTAACTTGAGAAGCGTCTATAACAGTACTGAAACGTCATCATTAAGGAGAAAAGCGGAAGATACCTAAGGGATATTCAATCTCATAAGTCGATGACAAACTGACATTGACCTAGCAACAAAAAAACGACCAAACGACAAGGAGAGAAATTTAGTAACAGGGTTTGTGGAGCACTTGGATGACCCAGCAATATAACGTTGTTTGTATATGGACACTTGTGTAATTTAGGTATCCAATAAAGTAAAGGAAGACCTATGATCATTTAGGATTTCTTCTTTGGTAAATGTCGTCGTGGTAATTTTTGTGTTTCCAAGTGAATTGTCAATACCTTATTCCTTTACCGTGTAGTTAATGTAATGTGATTCACACGCTTAAGCGATTTTTTTTGGGGCTATTTCTGCGGGGACAACAACATGATAGGCATGTAAGTAGGACATTTGGGTCTTTAAAAATCGATGTAGTATGTGTATTCATAGAGTCAGACCCATTCAGTTTTTTAAATTCCTATTTGTATCAACGACCTTGCTGCCTTAACTCATTTGGAAAGAGTGTCTACGTTTTTTTTTTGCGTCTATCCCGTTGCCTTGCATAATTCTCGACTGAATCCATCATTACCGGTATTTTCAAGATGTATTTCCAATGGATCTATTTAGGTTCACGATATTTGGGACCTTTGGATAACACATTTCGCAGAGCAGTGGTATTGACAATGTTCAGATAACAAGTAATGCCGTTACCAACTGATTATATGCCTAAACATGTATGCATAACTATCCGGTCATTTCAAAGGAGACTAAATCTGTTTTACAAATTGTTCTATTTTAAATTAATCAACTAGAATGTAACCAGCGCAAGCGCGGGAATAATTGTTGACCACTTTTAATAGATATTTATGAATTCAAACGAGACATCATTTATCATTTCCTAATTTTATATAAATGAATTTACCAGTGTATAAAATATTCTAATGATACCTACAACCATGGTTGGTGTTATACAGTTTATCAAAGACCATTGATAGAAAAAAACTCATCAAAGATACCAGAAATATTTATAGAACTGGGTCTATGCAAAGGGAGACAACACTAACAACATAAGTTATCGAAAAGTGGGTCTCGATGAATATCAGCTTTTCAAAAGTCATTTCGACCACATATTTACCGAAACAAAATACTAAACTAAACAACGGAAAACATAGCTGGATACATATTTACAAACAAGTACCTAGTATGACAATTTGTGACGTAAAGGATTCTTGAAAATTCTATGGTTGGGAGACTTTTATTTTGATATATAAAAGTGCATACAAAAATTAATTTGTAAAGAAACGAAAAAAAGTTTATGCTTGTAAGAATAGATATATAGGCTAATGCAAGAGCAACCTACGTAATCTAAACTATATAATAGAAAAGAATAGTTTTTATTCGCCAAATTAGGGCACCAGGAGGGCATATAGACATATAAATAATATCATTTTAAACATTTGCAGATCAATAATATATTCAATTTAGACAATAGACATATAATAAAGAGAGAAAACACACAAAAAACAACAACGTATAATAAGATTAATTTCATGTTGACATTTACGCAAGTACACCAGGCAGGTGCATTTTGACTTTTAAATAAAAAGAGAGGCATACGTAGCTGGTGCTTTAAGGAGAAATCTCTACAGATAAGTGAAAAAAGTGTTGGAAGATTGTGGTAACATCACCATGAATCTTTGTACACATGTTCATTTTGGAGTAAACTGTTTTATATATATATGCCAAATTAAGGATTCGACCAGAATTCGTGGTCCACTGAACAGGGAGATGTTATAGTGCATATCAGGCCAAGTTTTGGTTTAAGGTAGGTTGTGGTAACATGAACATGAAACTTACTACACATATATAAAAATAAGGAGATGTGGTATAAATATAGATATATTGCCAATGAGCTAACTAGCCACCAGAGTTAAAATGAATTGGATGTAAGCAAATACAGGCCACCGTACGGCCTTCGACAATGAGAAAAACTGATACCGTATAGTCGGCTTTAAACAGTCCTAACATGAAAAAATCATTTTTTTAACAATTCAAACGTGAAAACTAACGGTCTTATTTATAACAAAACAATTTACGAAAAACAAACATGACGGCATGAACCAACGACAACTACTGAACTACAGGCTTCTGTGCATTATGAATTTGAAGTTAGATATATATGCCAAATTAGAGTTTGACCCACTTTTCGCAGTTCACTGTCAGAACATGGAAATGGAATGGTATATATCAAGTTTTGGGTTAACTTAGTTTGTGGTCATATCAACATGAAACTTGCCACACTTCTTCATTATTAAGTTGGCTGTTTGATATATACCTTGTTCAATGTCAAATTTAAGTACATATTATCGACAAAATGTAGGACCATAAGTTTTTATAATTCATATTAAGTAATATTTTAATTTATCAAAAACCAAAATCATTTTTGTACCTATATATACATAAAAACAATATGAAAAGATTTTACATTCTATATTAGTGTCCATTGTGAAGTCAAAGATAAGAGGATTGCGTTTGTTCACTTCTCAAGGACATACAATCACTTGAATCAGAGATACTTTTTACACCTTTTCTCAATTTGGTAATTGAGTTTGGTCTATATTTGGGTTCATCCTTGATAGGCATATACTCTATGGAATCGGATCCCGAAATACTCTTACAAACACTCCCTTCTCTTCGTAGTTTACCATCCACATACCTATTTTTACTTAAGGACTTTTTTCGCATTCTTTTTTGCTTTTGATTATTCCGAGTATCCACGGGCAAATTCTTCACTCTATTTCTTTTATGATCCTTAACGGTTGAAAGACCTTTAGATGGAGAACAATGCACAGCGGATTTCTTTCGAGTATTTGGTTTATTTTCCTTTATGTTAATGTCTTCCTCTGTTTGGTAACCTTGCTTTTGGCTTTTAACGCTTGGGGACACTCTTTCATTTTTATTTATGTCACTGTCCTTATAATGATGCTCAGCAAATCTTGTAGAGGGAATATGCATCTGTCTGTGAAGATTATTTTTTTTATAAGGTTCATGATCAAATTTAGATAATGCGTTTTCGTTGTATTTCTGAACTTCAGATATTTTCTGTGCATTAGTTGTGCACTCAATACCGCAACTGTTTGTATGGTATTCATCTAGAGACCTCGTTTTTGTCTTTCTGCATTTCATTGCAATTTTATTCCTCTTACCAGACTTCATTGCTGTTGGAAGAAAGACGTCGTCTTCATTTTGGTCCTGAGATACACTTCTACTTATAGGAGGGAGTACGTTTCTTTTGTTGAAGAATCTTGGCCGCATGCTAAACATGCCATCTTCTGAACCGGAAGTTATGGAAAATGTATCAGTAATAGTTGAACTAGATGACAAAGAAGACATTGGAGTCAAGGTTCGACAGGTTATTGGACTGAGTGTTATTCTAGAACGCGAATCAACCTGTTTCTTTTTAATGACTTGTCGCTGGGAGAAAACTGATAAAGTTGGACTTGGTGGGATGACGTCAATACTAGGTAACATCATAACATTCTGTTCTGTTATATTAGATTTCAAAGGTTTTTCCTTATTATTAACCTTTTTAGACTTTGAAACATTATTTGTATGAGGATGAATTTCAATTTCATCGAACGACGACTCAGGATCCGTAGACTCACTCCTGATTCTTGTAGTACAAGACGGACGCATATATAAAGGTGATTTCGGAGGTTCAGGAGATGTAATTGTTATACCAACAGCAGATACGTGTGTAGTTGTTGTTGTTTTTGTCGTTATTTTGCATCCGCTATTTACTCTCTCGAAAGGTGAAAATGAATTCAACTTGTATATCAAACCGTCGTGTTTTTCTCCATGAAAATGACTCTCAGTATTTTCCGTAATTTGGTCGTAAGTTTCGTCTATGCTTGACCGTTGGCTGACAGACGTGCTTGTCGAGCTATAGCGACGGATGTCGTAGAATGTTGCCCGACTTGAACAGTCTGTCTCATCTCCATCAGGAAATATAGCACACTCCGTCACGTGTTCTTTCTTTGTCTTTCTACTTTTCTTTTTAGTGTTAGACTCTTCATATCTTAAATATGACATCCTTAATGAAAGAAATAACTAGTCAAGAATAAGATAAAAAAAAAAAAGCGTATGTTTTTTTTTTCTAATTTAATGTTCATATCAGACATTTATTAACCAGTATCTATAAAGATGCAATGATCATTACCAATTACAGCCGATTGCATTGAGTGTGTAGGCAAAGGTAATATCGTTGGTTAGCTTGCTTGTTAGCTGAACCTTGAAGTCATTATTAGGTAAGGTATACTACCCTCCTTTCGAAGTAGCCTATTCCAACAGACAAGATAGATTGGTTATCTGTCGGACTAGTCTACTCTCAAAGGAGGGTAGTTTACCTAACCTAATAATGACTTCAAGGTTCAGCTAGCAAGCAAGCTAACTAAAGATATTACCTTTGCCTACACACTCAATGCAATCAGCTGTAATGATTTATAGTGATTTATTATTACTCTTGTATGTGACTTGTCATTGCGTGTTTTCATATAAAGGAATTTTATTAAATGTGAGTATCTATTTATCAACATATTTATATACTCGTGTATATCAGAGTGGCATAAAGAAAAACAAAAACATACATCGACATTAACTATCAAAACCGATTTCGTGGAAATCAAACTAATAATATAGAGATATTATTGCAGTATGCAAACAGAACTAGGTGACCAAAAATTGTTTACATCCATGTCATTTGAACAGATGGATAGTTGTCAAATTGGCAATCATACCACATCTCTTTATTCTTAAAACTCAACTAAAACAGTACAATAAGAAATAAATAAATATGGTTTCTTTCATGTTGCCTTGTTTTGTCTCTATCTCATTAGATTTTGTGTTCTCTAATATAAATGTCGTATTTTCAAACATGTGTTTAGTACTCTAAAACAAGACTTGCCTGTAAAGAAAGGATGTCCTTTTGAGAATTTTAGAGGCTGTACACTAACCTAATCTTATATGATACTCGCAATTCAAATATGTACAGTTACAGAAATTTTGATTGGATGAAACTAAATTGAGGAAGTACATGGGCGAAGTGTTAATAAATTCTTACCATTTAGCTATAAATGCGTCAATAATAACTTAGCTGACAATTATTTTCAAAGTAATGGTAAATACGAATAAGCTCTAACAGTGGTGTTTAACAGATAAATAAAATAAAGGGGAGAAAGGAGGGGATTTTTTCTTCTAAAACTGACGTTTTGTGGTTATACCTGTAATTCCGTTATGAATTATTGATTAGATATAATGAAAATTTGTCATTTAAAATCACAACCGTTATAAGGCCACGAAATCGAAAGGGATAAAAAGACCAAGTCAACTTTGATGGAAGGATTTACTGTTACATTTAACATTTTATGCTAAACAAGAACATTTAGGTGCTATGTCGTCCTTTAGCTAGACTGTTCCCTGGCAATAAAAAATTCAGTACATATATACCATGCTTTCATATGATAAACGGGAAATTTCAAATATCTATTGAAGACATAACTACCATTTTGCCCGAAAAAATGCATCAATTCGAAGATCCATACTACACAATATGTTTGTCAAATTTGTTTGTTGTTTTGTACTTTAGTCAGGTCGTTGGTTTTCTCATCTGAATTGTAAATACATTTTGTTTTGTCGTGGCCTTTCAAAGCTTGCTATGGGGTATGCTGAAGGCCGTATGGCGACCTATAGTTGCTAACATCTACGTCATTTGGTCTCTGGAGGATAGTTATCTCATTGGCAATTATACCACATCTAATTTTATGGTAATTACAATATGTTGTTAAATGTCTTTTATAAAAGTTACAAGTCAATATTCATCAGCCAATCACAGAAATCAAAACCACATTTTGATTGTCGAAAAAATATATTATCATTTATGAATTATTTA